TTCATATTACTTATTGTACAAAATGGTGCAATGTGTACAAGGTGGTGCAATTATAGTATCGTCGTACGTCGTTGGGCAACCATATTATCTTAAATTGGAGTGTATTTTTGACATTACATTACTCGACTGGGCGTTAAATAAATAAATAATAACAACGATGTCGGAGTTAACTTTTGGTCAAGGAAGACATATGTTGTATTTTATAGATGTGGTTGACGCTGAGGTAGTTAGAAAAATTAGAAATTAAGAATTTACGTTGAACACCAAAATATTGACGAATCATAAGACGAAGATGACTTTAGTAATGACCAACAGCTACTTTCAACTTCTGGCAAATTTGAATTCAATTTTCTGAGACTAATACTGATTCCCTTACTAGTTTCATCTATTTAAATTAAAATAGGGACTGTAAATTAAAAAAAACTAAAACGATCAATCTTAGAAAATGTAACAATGTAATATATATATTTTTTTTAGAAATTATTAATAATAATACACTAGAAAATAAACTTATCTCGACATAATGTTATTACGCCAAAATGTGATTATTTTCAAACTAATTGTTTAACAATCTTTTTGTTTCTAATCGTCAAGTTGACATAAACAAGCGGTGCCCCGATTTATCCAGTGGTTTTCATGTTTGTCAGTTTTGAGACCAATAAACATAACAAAATTCGACGAATGTCCCGTAGTCGCTAATACACCACGTCGAGCGCTTGTTTTATAAATGGGACTATCGTACGAAGCCTTTTTTATAAATTGTGACTGAAACACAACAAAATTGCAAATAACGTATTAGTCAAATAGTAATGATGTCTTTAATAAAAATCAATCCATAAGTTTGTTACAATATTTCACGGCTATATCGTTGAACATTTTACCACACAATTATAGGGGAATTACCTTACAAAAAAAAAAAAAAAAAATCGTACAAATCTAGTATTTTAATATTGAAAAACAAAAATTAGTATTTCTGGACACTTCTAAAATCTGTACATCATTAATTGTACAGGCGAATCATTCAACGTTTTTGTTTTTATTTCGTCCGTCTCATAGAAAATAAAACAATGGATAGGACACGCCAATAATAGTTCTGTAAAAGGTTGCCATCATTTTTGAAGAGAGAGAAAGTTATACAGAGCAATTTTATATATATTTTTTTTTTGTTAATATTTTTGTTTTTCTTATTTTACAGTCTTATGAAGTTACTAAATATTTATTATTTTTATTATTTTTAAAAGATCTATTAACCTTTGAAACTAAAATGGGAACGTATATATTTAACTTAATTTTGAAAGTAGAATAATTTAATCGACATTTTGACTTTTTTAACTTAATTTCAATTATTTAAAAAAAAAACAAATATTCTCTTACCCTTAATGATTCACTCTGTATAGATTACAGGGTAAGGGTAAGACACTCATTTTCTCGGAATATATTAATATTTTGAACAATATTATTTCCCAATATTTTTAGTTTCACATAGCACTATATTTTTCAATATTTAGAACATTTTTATCACCAATCCTTATAAGCCAAAAAAGGGAGTTTTAAGTTTTTTTAAAAGGCATTATATGTTTTTAATAACATAAATTTGTAGACAAAAAATGTAAAAATATATTAGTGTTTGAATTTTGAATTTTCATTTATTTGTTATGAATTTATAAAGATTTTATTTTTCTGTATTTCTTAATATTTTCAATCGTTTCTACAAATACGAGTAGTTAAATCGCATAAAAATAATTTGACGTGTTACCGTACTATGTGTCTTAATCAGATATAATAAATAACCACGCGCGTTGTGATATTGTTAGAGTGGTATCGCTAAATTGACAATGCGAACATAAATATGAATTTTATGTGCTACCGGTTTTGGAAAACCGAAGAAATATAATATAATTATTAAGAGGAAATGTAATATCTTTACAAAGTCACAACAAATTAACAGATGGCTGAAAATTGAAAATTCAAACGCTAACATGTATTTATACTTTTTGTCTACAAATTTATATTATTAAAAACATATGTTGCCTTTAAAAAAAACTTAAAACCCCCTTTTTTGGCTTATAAGGATTGGTGATAAACATGTTCTAAATATTGAAAAATATAGTGCTATGTGAAACTAAAAATATTGGGAAATAATATTGTTCAAAATTTTAATGTATTCCGAGAAAATGAGTGTCTTACCTAAAATGAATCAACCTGTATATATGTTTGAAAGGGACAGATGTTGCTGTTAAAAAATTACAAGTTACTAATAAAATAATATTAGGTCTAATGCCTTTTGGGCAATTTTCTTTATAATATCTTCCGTGGATTTTCTTAAACAATGTAGCCCGTAGATTAGTGTATATGGTTGTTACAGGACAAGAAGCAATAAACCAAAACGGGAGAGGAAGACCCTTATATTTTTGTTTACGACTGTCCACCGGAATCCTGCGAGTGTTATACGCTTTTAAAGTTTTGAAAAGGAGTAATAAAATATACTATTTTTTTTTAATTATTATGATGATAAAATGGCTTTTTTCATCCTGGGGAAGTGGGTATGGTTAGTAAGGTTAAAAATGTTATCACTTTATTCTAAGGCGATGAGCTTGATGTCCTACCCATTATTTATTATTTATGGCTTTCTATCTTTCTCAATAATCCAAAATTATTACAACGGTTTATGTACATACCTTGATGCCAGGCTTAAACCAAATAATCGGTACTGTATCGTAAAGAATTTTAGGATAACATTCATTCAACATCATTGATTCTCGGTCCCATCTAGCTCCTTCCAGAAAAAGACCCTAAAAAAGAACACAGTTTTTAACGATTTATGTATACAAAAATTAATTTACATATTTCTTCCATTGGTTTAAACGTATTTCAATGAAGGAAGCAACTGGTTATAATATAGGAAAATTTTCCTTGCGGAACTGAACAAAAATAATTGATAATAATTTTAATAAATATACAACCAACAGAATCCAAACTCAAACTTTGCTTTATGTATCAAAAATTGTGATTTATAAATTTATTAGTAGAAAAAAAATCCGGATAATCAATCAAATGTGCACTTCAATTTGACTGATCTATCCAAATTTCAGTCGCAACACAATAAAAAATATTTATACCGTTTTATTATGAAATCGATTTTTACCCGACAATAAGCTCCCAAGACCGGTTCACTGTGTACGTCATCGTCAGTTTCGTACACGGTAATTTCAAATTCGAATCCAAGTTGGTCGATGGGTATTTTGTGTTTACGTGCAAAATTCTGTAGCACTCCCGATAAAAACGATTGCGTGAAATAAAAACCGGAAAGCCAAAATACAGCTGGCACACCGTTGTCGAGCCAATTTTGGAAAAAATTCAATCTGAAAGAGTCATTTGTAATATTTAGAATACGACAATGCTAATCGGTACTTTCTGCGCAGTCAATCTACCGGTTTATATACCTTTCTAACAAGTCGGTTATATAACCACCCAACGGTTTTAGAGACGGGTATGATTTGGCTAACCAACTGGCTGGAACGCGACCGACAACTAAACTCGTGTAAAGTTCTTCCAAGTCGGCCGACATGACGACAACACCCTTTATGGCTTTTTGGATCTCCACTAATGACTTTTTGATGACGTTCAGCAATTTATTGAAACGTATCAGTTCCTAAATTAAAACGAAGAAGACCATTATCGATGTTTGACAATACTGTGAATGCAGCGTTTCAGCACTTGTCGAATAACAGTGTTCATAGATTGTTCGTATCTCGTCGGATATTTATTAGCGGCCTGGAAAACGTCGAATAGATTTGGAATATTCTGAGCTATTGAGCTGGCTAGTTCGATCATTTTTTTATCAACGTTTGTATCAGTACTACCTCCTCCAATTTGAGATTGTGTTAAAATTGTACCCGTCAACAGCTGTGATTATGAACGAATAATACATAAGCGCAAACATGTATACGATCGTCTCGTTTTTAGTTAATTTAGATATTGAAACACCTACCATGTTTGTTTCTTTGTTATTTTTCGTTATGTTCGCGTTTTCGTGCAATCCAAATACTTCCGGCTGTGGACTCATTGGCAATGATCTTAGATAATTTAAACATCCCTCATAAGTGGTGTCCTTAGGAACGTGGTAAATGCCACTCGGCGAGAATGTATATCTAGTAAAACAAGTAAAATGGGTTGATTTTCTATAATTACTTAATTATAGACACAAAATAATTCTCGTAGTTAAAAGTTTCTGTCTGTGGTTAAAATCGTTAATAATCAATTTATTTGATTTTAACCAAAATAAAACTTTTCTATTGCTGAGCACAATAGGTTGTCAACAAAGCGTTTCTACTCACGATTCTTCTTTAACAACTCTCGTGTTATAAAATATAGACAACAGCGAATTAAGCAACCGTCTATCTTTATCGTCGGTAACACGCCCGCCGTAGTTGCATTCGCCAGTGAGGTACAGGAGGGCCGTAAATGGGATTTCCACATAATCGTTCAAGAACATCTAATAGGGGATCGCAATCATAAGAAACTCATAACCTTGTAAAAACCCGAGTATATATACTTGTAGTTGCATAACGCTAATTCGCAAGTCCGATTCGTTGAACTCGTACGGGATATTCCATCCGAGCGGTCCAAAATTTCTTCGCTCTTGAACTATTCCGTGAAAGAAACAGAGCGAAAATAGCAACGTTCTCCAGTTGGTTAAATTTTTACAGCTCTCATAGAATTCGGGATCGCTTATTGGATCCGAAGTATAAGAACGCAATAAATTCATTTTAAGGCCCTTAGGAGCTTCATTGATCATTTTAATGCCTAAACCAAATCATCGATAGACTTGTCAATAACTTAGCTACCATATTCCGTGTACAGTATAATATGTATTTACCATTTTGTAATATAGTAACTGGAAAATCGTTGGACGGATAACTAGTAAGCCAAAGCCGAAACGCTTCGTGAGTTCTACTGGGTACGATGTCTTCATCACAAATTCTATCGAGTTCTTTCATCCAGCTGACAGCCAAATGACAATTTTGCAACACAACCCATTGGCCGGTCGCTATACCGGTTGTTATCATGTTTTTCGCTATTGGGCCCTGAAATATTATTGTATGGCTACAGTAGAGTCTCATGTATTTAATAAGTAAATAAATAGTGTTTACTTGTCCTTGGCCGAGAGATATGGTCATCAAATCAGTACGACTGATATCATTGTCTTCGGCAAACTTTATTAGACCCGACATGGGATCTGCACCTGCCGATAATACGAATATCAAAGGAGTGCAACAACTCGAGTCTTTATACGAGTCGCCTAAATCAAATGGCGGAGGCTCAATGTACCGTTGTCCCATACTATTGATGACGTATTGCTAAGCATATTTTACACAATTATCGATACAAATAACACAATACCGTCGATAGCTAAAACAATTCATCTATTATTAATAAATACCTGAACGGCAGGAACTACTTTGTCGTATCGTAAGCACTTGATGATTACAAGTTTTTCAAAATCTTCAACATTGCTATACGGTTTTGGTATAGTCGCATCTTGAGGATTGACTAAATTGTACCATATTTTCCATTCTTCTAGTGATGTTTTAATTGAGTTGGACAGCTCACCTAACCTACGCGGATAATGTTATTGTACAAACTACATTGTTTTACTCGGTCTTGTATCTTCTAAGTTTTCTAACCAATAACTTATCATCTATGCTAGTTAAAATAGGTTTTTTTGTTGAAATATTTACTTTGGTAAATGAGATGCTCTCACAATTTCAGCCCATGATTTATCGGACAACCATTCGGGAGCAGGATTCGGATATGGATTTTTCAGACCAACTCCGCCGGTCAAAAAAAATGTCAATATTTCATTATTCAGTTTTCCCTATTACATATAATAACAATATTTTATTGAATTCGCCGTAGTCAACAATGTATGATTTTACTTTCGATTGAAATATTCCAGTAGTTAATACAAATGAAAATATCAGTTTATCTTTTTCGAACAATGATCTGCAAACATTCCTATAGATGCTGTACGTAAAATCATCGTTTAAAATTTGTATTCTTTTATTAACGTCATCAGATTTTTCACTTTTAGTGATAGACTGATAAAAGAAAATAAAACATATAATTATTGTTTGTATCATAGTTGTGTTTAAATTCATATTTTTCTATTATTTGGAAAATTATTGTTTAGTTGGTGATTTTACGTTTTTAAAAATATCAAACGAACTTGGTGATATAAATTAATGAACCACGTCAATGAATATTGGTACATAGGATCGATATTGGCTAAATCCGAAATACAAAAAAATAAAACCGCAGAGTGTGTCGATACTGGAATGTAAACATTTCGAGCCACGTCTATCTCTTGTTCAGTCACTGCAGCAGCTTCTTGTTTTACTTGAATTTCCGCAGATAACGTCTATGTCAACCACATAAAAATTTACCGAAGAATATTAAATATTGATCGACAATAACTAGTTACCTTCGACGACGAAAGAATTTGTATTGCAGATTCGTCTTCCAAAATATTTCCTTCCGACGACGATAAAACGTATAATATTTTGTCTTCGATTTCCTTTAGTAATTTTTTGTTTTGAGCACTTTCAACTATCAGTTCGTTTTTTTTCTCTTCTAACAGAGGTCGCTCCTTGGCCACAACAATTCCGAGTAATTGATCTTGTAGACCTTGATTAGTTATCATAAAATTCAACAGAGTCACCTGTAACGAAACAAAATATTGTGTTTTTCTCAGGGGTTAAGTTTACAAACAAAATTATACTGATACAAACTACTATTTACTATGATTTATAGTTTTTTCATAACCTACCAATTACAGTTATCTACTATAATGAATAACAAATTTAGTAGTTGAACTACTTTTATACCAATTACACATTTTTTTAAAAACCGAACCACTTAAGGCCAAAATAAATTAAAAATGTTTGATTTAATTTTTTTGTTATTAAGGACCTATAAAGAATGTATGATGAAAATAACAAACATTTGTTAAATATAGTGGCACACAAGTTAAGTGATTTCACGTGGATTGACCCAAAATTAAATTGAACAAACAGTCCAAGTCCAGTATCGAGTTCAGCAAAATTAAATGTTTAAAATTGATCTAATTTAGTTTTTATTCAAAACATAATGTAAAGTTTTGCGAGTACAGAAAAATATTGTCATCAATATTTTTCTATTGGTTTGGTCTTTCTGGTACTTTGGTTTATTCTTAAAATTGTTTTCAAAAATGTAAAAAACGTACAAAATAATTGAGAATTTCATATTGCTAAAAAAATAATAAATAAATGCGACATGACTTCCGAGACTAATTTAGAATTTAGCAAAGAAAATTGTTTTAAGAATTAGAAATCGCATAAAATAGTGTTTATTCACAACTTAAGTAACGATTTTAAAAATCAACTAAACATCCCAAGAAATATAATTTCACATAAGATTTTGGAGAATAAAACAATCATAATTTTGGCCATGTTCAAAAGTTGTATAGTGTATAATACATAGTATATTGTGTAGTATTATAATTTAATTTAAATAGAGATATCAGTCTCATCCTTTTTATATATTTAAGAAATTTCAGCCCTGTTATAGGTAAGAGGTATAAAATATTTTAGGTATTATAATATATTTGTTATTTATATTATTTAAATCACAACTAATGATTGATAATTAATTAAATCATCAATAGTATATGCAGTCTTTATATTAAAAAAAGACATTTTTAATTGAAAATTTAATTTACAAATTAAACTTAGAATGGTAATTTTTATTCAATAATAGTAGTTCAGTTACGTAATTAAATTTAAAAAATGCAATGACTGTCCAATCCTTGATATGCTATCTACACACTTGAAATCAAGAATGTTACTGAGTAAAAATTTCTGACGTCAAAACCCATATAACAAACAAATAGAAAAAAAAATGATTTACTTTGACTGAAATTTCCGGCAAGTAATGTGGATTTCGGAGTCGAGTAGTGATGTAAAACCTGAACGAACTATTGTACTGCAATAAGTTTTCACCGAGCTTCAAGTATTGCACCCCTCCTTGAGTGTACACGTTTCTTAACAGCACAGGATCTATACGACAAACAGTAACGCATTTTCTTGGAGATTTTCAATGGGTAAAAGGTATATAATAAACATATTCTATATGCAAAAAAATTGTATAAAATCCTATTTTATGTAACTACCGAAAGTGGCGTCGATATGTTCCAATATGTTTTCCAACAACACCGGTAAACCGCGTTCGATAGCCAATTGCAAAATAGTCATGTAATTTGAACTCGATAATTTGATAACGTATAAATTATTTTCTTTTTCCATATTTTTTATCCACTTGTTCGCTTGGCCCTGTGGATCGATCATCAGAGGCCAACGCGTAGCGTTGTACAATATGATGCCGTTCTCGACAGAAAAGTTATCAGCTGGTAAACCGAATAGGTTCCAAGATCGTATGAGTACTGGTACGCCCAATGTGAACACCAATGAAAATTGCTTTGAACACGGAATATTTTCGTTCAAACACGTAATGTTCCAACCTTGAATAATGCTCTGTAAAAATAAAAATACATTTACTGATTCCCAGTTGGAATTTAGACAAAACGCTTACATTCCTATAGTCTACTGTGAATGCTCCAAGATATGCGACCACACCCGATGATATTAAAACATCACCAATTGCATTGTCTAAGGTTGACTGTAATTCTCTGGCGGTCTGACTCCATCGACTTTTCTCACCGCTAAGTCCACTGATCAGCTGTTCTGCTCTACTGAGTTTTTGAGAACATAAATCTATATCGTTTTCTAGTTCCTTCTTTTCTTGAGTCTTTGCGGCGAGTTCGTCTCTCAACACTTGCAGTTTGCCAACCACAGCAGCCAGTTCTGCTCTTTTTTCGTTGAGCATTTCTATTTGCATGGCATAGTCGGTTTCTGCTTGCTGTAGTTTTTCCTTTTTCGGTCCGACCACTTTTATAACTTTATCATAAACGTCCAACGCTCTGACCCATTTACATAGACCTTCACACGCGGTTGAAACAGATTTAATACTGATCGGGTTGAAATCGGGATCTTTGATGTACCTACAAATAATATAATAGTTATACAGTTAACAATAGAATAAGAACCAAAAAACTGTACTTTTCTCTAATGCGTTTCATGATCACAGGATCAATGTTGTCTTTATCGTATGTTTTCAAACTTTCTAAAAATTTCGTGTCAGAAATAAGTTTTTGCGAAGGTCCCCAATAATCTTCAATCATTTTTCCGGAACCACTTGGGTCCGGTTTTCGTTCCGACTTAATACCCTTCATGACACAGACGGCTTCCAAAACCAGTTTCACCCCGTAAGGAGGATTTTTCATCGATTTTACTAATGTTATATCAGCTGGTTTTAGAGTATCTAACGCCGAAACGGCAGCTTCAAGTGCCGGTATGGCTTCGGCCAAATCACTTTCACAATCGTCTTTAATTGCCTGCGATGCTGCCGCAGCTTCGTTTGCAAGAGCTTCGTCGGCTCCGACAAGCTAACGAAATAATTTAGGCCTCTTTAGCCATCTATATTTTAACACATTAGGATAAATATAATTTAATTTACCTCTTTTTTTGCTTCAACTTTAACTGTGTCTTGTTCAATTTTTTTTAAAAGTGCTTCAGTCGCTATTGACGTTTCTTCTAACTTAGGCTTCAAGGCTGTTAATTGATCTTGCATTATGGAAACTTGTCCAGCTGCAAAATCTAATTTGTCCAAGCCTGTCAAGTATCTTTGTTTTAATGTAGTTATTTCATCCACTTTCTTCGTATGTAAATTTTGGAATGTTCTAATCAACTCAAGATACGACGTTGGTGTGACATAGTTATGTCTCTTTAGGTTATTAAAGAACCTTAGAAAGTAGTTCGGGTATACCATTATAAACATTTGTTGCAAACGAAACGCAATTAATAAAACAACCGTTCAATACCTAGTAGAAGCATCTGTAACTGTTGTATGAAACTCTTTACATATTACCACACACGAATCAGCGATGGCTTCAGGTATATCCATCGTTTGTATAAAATATTGAGCAACTTTTTCAAGAGCGTCCTCAGGCCACACAGTAAACCTATAACAGCCGAATCTTTATCAAATGAAAGAAAAACCACTAATCGATCTGACGATTAATAAAAACAGAAAGAGAGAGAGACTTGCTCAAATTTTTTTAAAGACTAACTATATTACACAGCTATTAATAGTAAATTTGTTAGCTTCGATGCGAATCGTATCATTATATTTACAAAGGTGTGTATTTTTTTTTTTTTTTGGACCTACGGTACATTTTTGACATTTCTTTGTGTAGTAACTAGTAACTCTATAAATCAGAAGTCGTACCTGAAAGTTACTTTAGTGGGACAAAACATTTTTTACTCCTCCCCTTTTAAACCGAAAATAACATCCAAGAATTAACATATTTTTCAACTTGAAATTACAATATAACTTTTATAAAAAATAGTCAAATTAATTCCAAATTTGTGTGGAATATTCTATAAAAATGGTACTACTGATAATCATTGACAAACCAAAAAAATATCATAAACCCTTTCCTCTAGAAGGGATAGAAATTAGAGCAAACGTAGATCTAGAATTCTGTTCTCAAAAATCTGCAGTCCTTTTTTTTTATTAATACCCTCTCCCCCAAAAAAATGAAAATTTACCCTTTGACGAGGTCAATTTTCAGGTTGCTATGTGTGAGTGAAGCAACAGTCATTAGGTTATGAAAATATGTTCATTATATTGTAAATTACGATGTATAGGTTACTATAACAATTCATTTTTACAGAAAGACAATAAACTAATCGTATCCACCCTAATACTAAAAATTAATTTTTAAGCACATATTGTGATTAGGTATAATGCTTTTATCGAAATTTTAATTTTTATCTGTGAATACTGAACCTCCCTACTTTATAACTGTGCTAGTTAATAATGTAATTGGTTTGGACTTACTGGTTCGAACCTACTATCCACAGATTCGTATCGAAGCATAACCAAAAGTGATTTTATTACTTGCAGTTATAATAATTACTGTAGACATGTAACCTCCCTGATCCCACACTATACAGGCTTTTTTATAACTAGAATTTTTATAAATTACCAATCAATTGTACAACAGTTAATAAGTGAAGGAAACATTCTCAAACGATTTCTAAACGTATCTCCAATTGGTGACATCGCCAGAGAAATATGAAGATTTGACTTGACTCTTTCTATGAAAAAGTTGTAGAGAGCGAGTGGAGTAGTTTCAATCGTTTTACCCTGAAGATGAAACATTTGCAAAAATGTGTTCAAGTTACCTTATATCGAATTTAGTACAGTTGACAGTTCGGTAACTCACTAGACTTTGAGCAATATTTGACACCTTATCCAGAATATCAACTCTTTCATCGGACTGATATAAATTCGGTATATCGCCAGTGTTTAAAAGCATGCTGATGTCTTCCACGAAACTCTCGTCAGCTATTTGATTATCAGACAGTAAAAACGTCACAGGTCTTCCTTTACATCCTGCATCCCTTAAAAGCTTTTTAATATCGTCATTCCATTCGTTTTTACCATAGTTTCGCACAATTTCTACCTAGTTTTAACAATTCAAATTTACTTTATTCATAAACTTTGTTAACGTTTCGAGTTTACGTACTTGAAATAGGTCGAAATCGGCCATAAAAGTTGCTAGTTTTGTAGCCGACTGTCTTCCGCTGCCGCCTATGCCGACCAACAGCACGTGCCCGTTATCTTGTTGAAGTACTCTACTCACTCGGGAAATGTGCTCAATAGCGAACTTGAACATAACTAAAGCCATCGGACTTTTCGAAACCGTATTATATTCTCTCAGATAAAATTCCATGTGCTGCAGTAATAGTTTTTCACTGTGCACTTCGTCGTAAATTTTCTTATCCGTATCGGGGTCCATATAATTTCCGTAAAAAAGATTTCGCAAGTGGTCGGCGTTCAAAGACATTTCTTCGGCAGGCATTAAATCACTGAGATACATATCAATTGGTTGTCTCAGGCAATTGTATGATGCGGTTTTCATGACTTCGAACAACATTAAACGGTCGTCATCGTCCACTAGGCGATCTCCGAACACTCGCCACGTCTCATGAACCCAAAGACGGAAAAATTTTTCCAACGTTTTGCACCGAGATGCGGGCAACAGTAATATTCCTTTCACAACCCTGGCAAAGTCTCGAAGATTAAAAGTGTAATGAGATTTCGCAGGAGTTGGTAAAAACGTAGAAACGGCTTCTTTGTACACGTGCAACGTAGCTTCAATAGCGTTCTTAACAATAAAGATAATATGTAAAACATACAATACTATTTTAAATAGTAAAACTATATCTTTTACTTTTGCCTGCAGCATAATAGCTTCAGCAAATCCTTTGCTGACGTGCCAGTCGATTATCTGAGTAAAAATTTTCGACATGGTTTCCTGACTAAACGAGTTTATACCGATAACGCTTAAGTGTCTGGTGAATCTTGTAGTGATATCGTTGGATCCGCCGCCGGGAGGTTGGAGAGCACCTATAAATATCTACGGCATTTAAAAAACAACATTAAAAGTATTTATAGTTAAATAAATACGTGAATATATATTATAATTAATTACTAATTACATTTAAGAATATATTATAAGAAAAATTTGACATATAGCTCACAACATACCATATCGAATATGTCGATTCTAGACATTTCCTGAAGATCGTACCAATGTGCATGGTCAATCCATTGCCTTAATAACTCTATCGGAGGTTGAGCTCCATATTTTTCTAGTATGGGCATGCTTAAATCGTCTATGAACAGCATGCATTTTTTACCAACCGGTGGTCCATATATTCCTCTTCTCCGCCTTTGCATGTAAAAGAGCAAGCAATGTAATTACGAATATAAATATAATGTTCAAATTATTCAAATACAGTATTTTTTTTAAACGTGTAAAACGACATACTTGTCTAATTTCGAAATTATTATATTTTGTACTGTATTAGCAGTTGTACGAGCGGAAAAGTTAAGTACGTTGACCAAATATTTTTCTTTTGCCAAATGCATTAAATAGTCCAACACTATAACAGACTTTCCTGTGCCGGTCGGGCCAACAAACAGTATAGGGATTTCATATTTCAATAACAAGTTAAGAAAATATTGTTGCTTGACCGTTTCATCTGTTCCAATGATAAGTTCGTTTATCTGCATAAAAACAAAGGGCTGACTTAACAAAAAAAATAATCAAATCAAATAGTTAACTTTTTTTAAGTTAACACTTTTTCATCGTAACAGACAAGCTGTGTAATTTTCAAAAAGATCGAGGGGGGTTGGTTCAAACGTTCATTTATATTTGGCGTTTTGGCTCATATATATGCAAGCACAAATTATTACATGACTTATTAGTGTCCCAAAAACATTTTTAAAAATAATAAAGAATATGTATAAATGAGGAAAAAATAATGTTAAGAGTGTGTGTGATGAAACAAGTTAGAGAGATTCTTGTAGAGAGATTTAGAAGTAGATGAAACCTAACCTAACCGAAGGAGAAATATGATAGATAAAGATGGATAAAATAACTCATTTAACCCTGATCCAAAAACTGTAGATTTACTTTTGCGTTCGAAGGAATCCTCTTTAGGTCTATTCGTTCAGACCAAAGCATCCAAGTACCATTGTTTTTTTTATCATAAATATAATCATAAACCGTGCCCGTGTCAGGAAAAAGGTGATTTTTTGTGAGCTTGAACGACTGCGGTTTTGGATATTGTTCGTTATTGCCGAGAATTAGTTTTCGAAAGAACGAATCAAATTTATTTCGGCTTTCATCTTTAATTGTTGCACCCACACTCCAAATGATACAAAATATCGTGACACACATCAACCAGACTGACGCGAATCCGACGCCTGTTTCTTCTTTTAACAACGAGTTCAATAGCCTCGTAAAAGACTGCAAAAAAAATTATGTTAAAGATTTTGCGGACTAAAAAAATTATTATTTCCCACATTAAACGTATGATTTTCCGAAGTGGATAAAAATAAGTTGCAGGATCTGAATACAAAATCTAAAACTGCCGGGATTAGCCATTCGATGACGTCGTCCATCATGACTTGTTGGTCGGGCAGAAGTTTGGTCATTAGCAGCTCTCTGTATGAGTACCAAAACGAGAGCCAGCCAAGTGATTTTGGCTCAAAGTAAATCATTCCACAACGAGACACTGTGGCAGGAGAGGCTTGCTCCAAGTTAGCCGGTTCAAAAGTCATTGTCATTTTACTGCTCATCTACACAAGTCATAATAATATTCAGAAGTAGAAAGGTACTTCGCTGAGTAAACAACAAAGATTGTTCTAAATTGTCACCATAAGTAAACTTTTATCATGTAAGCTGGAAGGTGAGCTGCAGTGACCAGAATGACGGAAATATATTTCTCTATTACCTATTTTTCATATATTGCAATACATGTACGTGGATTATTATATTATCATGTTTATATTTAGATGGTTTTCTAGCACATAAATTATGCGTTATAATGGGGTGCATTATTTAGTAGTAAATCAAAACATTTATTTTTATTTATTTACATTTATTAATGTATATTATTAGTTAGTAGTTATTATACAATGAATCCCTTTTTTGCAGAAAAAGTTATGTAAATCTTATTTATAGGTGTTTACAAACTACATAGCATATAGGTACAATGTACATATTATCAAATATAATTTTTTTGATTTAATCTATTGATTTTTTTTACTGATAAGTATTATGCTATGCAGTGCTTAACCAATTTGATAAAACATAATTATTTTGATTTTATGCGGTCCACTTTCGCTCGCATGAATTAAAGCTTTATAAACCTTTACTCTTTAGATTGACAGAATGGTGCACATTGCATACGCACTTGAATAATTTCTCCGGACATTAAACAAAGTTTTTTATTATCATCCAACACAGTGTTCATGTTTTCTATCCAAACTGCATCGACAGGTCCATCGAATACAATCCACTTACGGTCTTGAGTAGCACTCTTGGCGAATTCTCGGAATACAATTGCTAAAACTCCTAAATAAGTGCATATGAATTTATCCCATCTACTGAAAAACGCTTTATCAGATGCTATGTTCAATCGTACCATCGTGCCATTCGTGTGATAACGAATCAAATTGTCCATACAGCTGACCCATAGTTATAGCTTTTGGGTTAATTATTTTGTAAGCAGTTTTGAATTCTTTCATAAGAGCTCTTCGATTCATCTGCAAATCACCCAATGACTCTGCTAACACCTATGATAGATTAATATTATATTCAAATTAATATACATTACTAGTAATATTATTACTATACAAGTTTCTATTTATAGTTTTTAAATAACTGTTAAAAACCTTTTAATTATTTAGAGCTAGAGCTTTAAAAAAATATTGTTTCTCCCTTAAAGGAAAAACTGGATTATGAGTGTATCTTATGACACCTTCAAATATGTTTCAATGTTCATTTTCCTTCACTCTCTATATCTACAGTTTTATTTCTTCTCTCCCCTCTATTCATCTCCTCCTCTCCCTGTCGTCTATCTACAATTAATGATCTACAGACAATTAAAGAGTTTAAAGATAAGAGATCAGCGATAAGATTGGAAATAAGTGATGATTTTTAAGAAATGAGATTAGTAATGGAAGTACCAAAAGTCCCGGGGTCCTATATTTCTATATAAAGATATATCCATGTTCTTATATACTTCTGTCAGCTGAAGTAGTAGTATTAGTCTACTGATACATTGTTTTTAAATTTAGGTCTATGCCTGCTGTCTCAACAAATACTAGGCCACAGCGCACTGCACACACTAAACGTTATTTATATTGATATTGTGTTTAATTTTTAAATTTGACAATGTTTATTATTACTTTTATGCTTTTATATTACCTATTTAATAATATAATAATTATATATAGTTATATAATTATTATAATTATATATAGTTTAATAATTGCATAGCAATCTGGAAGTCTGCCTGACTTACTTCGCTAGATATGTTAAAAGAATCGGTCATTTTTTTCTAACAAAAAATGATTTTTTTTTATAATAATATGGGCTTCCACACGAGTTCCTTGGTGAGGCCAAGTATTCTGTTATTACTTATATTAATTATAAATAGAAAATAATAAAAATATATATTAAAAACCTGATAAGCACACGTCTTTCCGGAAAGTGGTTCACCAACTATCATCATGCCATGTCGCACTAGTACCATTTCGTAAATTTGTATTATTTTACCCAAATACCATTCGGTGCATTGTAAGTTTCTTTTTTCCAAATTTATTTTTATTTTATCGATAAGCTCATCTCGTTCTGGTACCAAAAACTGAACTCCAGGGAACAAATCACCGTAAATCCCAATAAATAGCGGCATGTCCTAAAATATGTTCAGATAAAAAAAACCTGTTAAGGAACTACGAAATTCGGATATTATCCATAAACCAGAGATCTTAGCAATATTATTTGTTTCAAATATAACCAAAAATAGGTAAAAAAAAGTATAATATAAATTACTATATCTGGAATACCGTTCAAGTACAAAGTGAGTTTGCGTTTCAAAGTTCATTAGTTTAAAATTATTCTTACTAAATTAATTATTTAATCAGCATAACAATTATTATAACTTTATGTAATTGTTATGATTATTCAATAATTAAACATAAAATAAAATATCCAATTATTAGGTACCAAACATTGATTATCTCTCATAACGTAAATTAAATTGACCCAATACCATTCCTAGTGTATAAATACCTCTAATAAAAATTTCGGCATATTAACGTCGTATATAGCCCTTAACACTATTTGTGCTTCGTTTTTATCAGGATATTTTAGTTTTAGATTTCCAATAGACGTTAAAACCGATATCACTGCTCGCATTCCATAATCGTAATGCGACTGAGATGACAACTGTTCCGAACATAACTTGTAAGTGTCAACTATTTTTTCAGCCAAACTATAATAACAGTTTTACATAGGCATGGTGTCATTTGTCTTATTTATTAAAATACTACTAATATACCTTCGGGCATCACTGAAGCCCATCGAGTACAACTTTATTTCTCCGATCATTGCATAATCAGGTACCATCATAGCTACAGTGCGGAATAAAACCTTTAGGTTATCTGGAAGTTCTTGTCTTCCAGCATATCTATTTGAAAAAAATATTGGTACAAGCATTGTCTCTTCGTAACACATTAACATATTTTATATTTACCCAGGATTCATTGTAATGAAAACGGCACAAGTCGGATTCAAAGTTAGTTCTGTACCTTCGAACATGAATTTTTCAGCTCCTGCTCTCACCGCCATCTGTATAGTGAGTACTTGTTGAGCAATAACAGACAATACTTCCAACTCGATTCTATTAAATTCGTCAAAACAAGCCCATGCTCCAGACTGAGCTAATCCCTAGTGTTCACAGACAATAGAGAACACAACTTAATGACGTTTACACAAGGTCATTTTAAAAAAAAACTACGAGTGGTTTAGCTTTAAATGGTATCAATAATTATATAAATATATAAGTTCTTTTCTTAAAATACAATAAAAAAATAATAGTGAATCACTTCAAAATTAATTAGAACTTAAGATTATTGGAATCAAAAACAATTGACAACGAGCATACAGCAATGTTAGAAAAAGAAAAGATTTACCGGTGCAATGAACTTAAAAGAATTAAATGTGCCGTGCGATTTTTATCTAAACACAATTGGGATTTGGAAAAAGAGATTGACAACAAAAAATGATCTGATACCATTAACATTATTATTAGTAGTACTAGAGTATTATATCTATGTCTGACACGAATTTGACGAGAAAGTGTGATAATTAGTTAACAGTTAAAAAATTAACTATCAGAGAGCTAGTTTTATTGAAGATCGCCTAAGGTTAACCTTATTAATCACTGTAACTAGAAATGTTAAAAGTCAACTTAATCTTGGAAACAAACATGTTCTTATACGGGTTTTCTAAACACCTTAATTGGTACACGGTGTTTTGTGACATTAAACAAATCATTGTACAAAGTTAATTTTAAATTTCGTACCATGAAAAATTTTCCCATATATTGGTAGTCCAATCCGTCTGAGCAATTAAAAACAATACACTGCTTAGCAATCGCTTTGGCTAAGTCTTTTGTAGTTTCGGTCTTTCCTGTACCGGCTGGTCCTTCGGGCGCACCACCGAGATTTAATTTTAATGCGCCCATTAATGTTCTAATACAGAAAAAGATAACAACTAAATCAAAAGACCAAGTATTATGAATTTCTAATGCCGACCTATAGCAACGATCGGTCAAAGGTGTTATAACCAATCTAGGAGAGTTTCCCAAGTATTCACAACCGTAATCGAGTATTGTGTTTATCATCGAAACAGTTGTTCTCGAGTCTTTGTTGTAATACCGTAATTGGCAAATCCAATTGAAATCACGAATATTGCTCACTTTCAGATTAATTAAACTCTTGACTACATCTCGAGCTTTGTAACATAAATTAAAAAACATGATTTTTTTGTTTTAAGAAGCTTCAATTATCTCCGACCGAAAGTAAAATATTAAATAGGTAGTAATGTCGTCGAATCATACAGTTGATACATGTAAATATCATTACCGTGAACATCAATAACAATCAACGCGCACACGGTTTGTCTTTCTCCTTTGCTAAGTTCTCCACGCACTAATCGCACCATATCTTCAATTTGTTGATTGCTTTCATCATAGTACATCTACGTTTGGCCAAACAAATAATAATTAAGTAATTAATATAGGGTCGTTATTTTATGTTTCATAGCTACGGGTAATAGTCTTCGTCCAATAGCGTTTTCGACTTCTGCCGTCCAATTTATAGTCGCTGCACATAAAACTACCATTCCAGGCCACAACAATACCCATTTATCACGTACAGTAAGCTGGTATTCCGAGGTCGCGTCGTTTATTATTTCATTTATCGATTGAATCATAAATATTTCTACTTGTATTAACCATTTTTCCACTAGTCCCTTTTAAAACCACCCATTGAGTAAAACATAACTATACAACTCAATTACTTTAGCCCAGGTTAAATGAATACCTTTGCCTCTGCCGGATAAATAGTTCCATTAAATTTAACGATTTCACCTTCGTCTGATATCATTCCGACTACCTCAACACTCTTTGTGAAATCTAGTTTAGCAATACCTTCGAAGCATTTTTTTAAATGTGGCTGGACTCGCAAAGGATCCTTTGTTTCCGATAATATTTCAAGTAGCTCGTCGTTTGACAAGAAGAAAAACCTACAAATGACCAATATTTTCGCATTGGTAAATTACTGAACAAACTTATGACGATTTCAACGTATGCATACCTCGGAAAGAAAAGGCGTTTCTTTTCCAAATATTCGTTTAATCCTTTTTGTATTTGTTCGAACATTATGCTACAATTTTTAAGCAACAGCAACATGTTGGGATATTCTGTTGCTTCGAGTACTTGACGGTTACTAACTGTATTTATCATGATTTGACGCCATATGGCATCTACGGCTCTGAAATTTCGCGCTTCTTCCGGCATTTGACGGTTAATGTCTTCTGAACTAAATATCGGACCCAAATACATCCAAATCCGTTGCACCTATGAACAAATATTATTTTCTAGGGGTCCTAAATTAATCATAACTATTTGACTCTAGTATAAGCAGACTTCGTTCCGGAATAAGTAAAAGATATTTGTTCTAGAACTCATAATAATCATTCGTTTCTTAAAGTACCTATTTTTCCTGAAGCTAATCAAATTTATTCATTCTGAAGATTTTTTTTCTGAAGCAAAAAAAAATGTTCAATATTAATTGTGGAACGTGAGAAAAAGAGAGCGAGACAAAGATCTAATTTTATTGAAGCGATTTACCCGTTGGGTAACAAACTGTTTAATAGTTTGTTTATTACACCTTCCTTTAGTCAAAACAAAAAGTATGTTAACCTTTGTAACGAAAGAAACCAATGTTTTATTTTATCTAGAACAGAAAAACCAGCACAGTGGGGTGGGGAAGGTCTTAAGGAATTATTACTACTAAAACTATTTGATCACTTTCAAATAAACATTTCGATGTGATACTCTAGGTAATTTAATATATGGTTCCAGGGCAATTCTCATTTCGAATGGAAATTTAAACTAATTTTCATATTTCCGTGATTTTTTTTTCTACTCAATTAAAATTAAGCGACAATAAAAAAAAAATAGTTTTAACCACAAAAAAACAAATGTCATACTGTGTATCGAAGGTCTAAATGTCAACTTTCTAAAAAATAAATACTAAAACCTGTTGTAATTTGAAATCAAAAAACATTTTTTTTTTTTTAGGGATTTTCATGATATTAAAGGAGAGCGATAAACTTTTTTAACTTTTGGGCTTTCAGGCGCGATTTCCAGTTGGTGGTTAAAAAGTTAACACAAAAAAATATAAAAATCAAATCAATAACTTCTCGGCTATGCATCGAAGCTAAAATATCAAGAAACGGGAACGAATAATTCTTATTAGCTCTAGAACATATACTCGAGGAACTAATACCATAAGGAACGAATACATTGTATATGCTTCGAAGCAAGTTAAAAGTATACAAGATAAAAGAAAATAACCTCTCTACAAGCGATTAGATACTGTTTTATAAATTACCCACAAACAGTTGTGAAAAAATAACCCACGATCACACTTACCGATATCCAAAGTTCTAAAATTTGTTGCATTACGACTAGTTTTTTTTCCCAACGATCCATCTCGGCTTCGAACGGTTTTATGTAAATGGAGCCGTGCATAGTCTGCGCTTTAAGTATATGATCGTCCAGCATTACTTGTATGTCATCTAAGCCCGTCAATATGCTGACACCGGTGTCTCGATACGGAGTGCATTCGAATTCGATATTCAACCATTCTTCTTTCATTTTACGGAGATTATGCTCAAGTGCATATTCTCTAGACGCAGTTGTACTGATTTCTTCCAGCCTCTCGATGTGATTTAACAAACCTATTTTGATCATATCTGCCAACGTGGACGTTTCGTTTGGATGCAAATCCACGCCGACACATTTACTTATCTAAACGTAAAATGTCGACGAGTTGAAAATATCAAGCTAGTTATATTGTAATTACTTCTTTCCAGTGTCGTTCGTGCATTCCAGGATTGCAAATCGTTTCTAGTACGGGTAAGTATTGCTTAAAGTCGTCCACTTGACCGCGTACGATTTCGGCCACTCTTTTTGACCCCGGATAATCTTGCAAGGTTCTTGCTAGTTTATAAAGATTTTTCCACATGTTATCGACCGTATCTTTTACTTCTATCGCGTTCAGATGTAGAAATGGCCCTGTTACGAAGGAATTCACGCTATTAATTAATTTATAACAGATTGAAAATGTTTACCATTTAACCATATTTCATGAAAATTGTGAAAATCACGAACAATATTCCATAACCGCTCAAACGGTTCTGTGGCAGCTACCATTGACTGGAGCCGTGTGTAAGCCGTTACTTCAATTTCAAGCAACCGCTCAGTATTATTTATGTTCTAGAGTTAAAAAACAATACTAGTTTGGTAGGCGACTGAAATTTGAACCGCTGTGTTTATGATTTACCTTAGCGGTAAGTACATCTTCTTTTAAACAACTCGTCAGCAGTTCCACATCTTCAGATGCAATTACAATTTCATCATCTGTTAAAATCGGCGGATCTTTTCGTTTTAGATTCTCCAACAATTTCAGGTGGTTTTTCAGACTACGCAGAATATTAGAGTCTTGTTAAAACCAGTTTGTTTTTCAAATAAATGTTTTAATGTTATACTCTATTTCAAATTCCGCTTTTTTAGTTTTTAATTGTCCTTCGACTACACCTTTCTTTTGAATTACTCGGCTCGTTGCCAAATCCAGGAATTGGTCAATTTCTTGAGGCCACCGATATACCCTCGATGCCAAATTGATATCGTCATCTATTCAAAAAGTTATAGTTTTTAGTAAAAAAAAACTTATCTCATTCTCTGGTTCACGGAAAACACTGAATCATGGATATGTTTTCAGCCTTACGCTAGGCGTTCCGATGTTTATGAGATTATGTTAATTTGCACATTAAATGTCATAAGCATTGAACCTTAGTACTATTAGTGAATCATCTTTTAATGTAAGATTCTATAGAATTTAGACTGCAGTACTTGTCTGTCCGTCCCCATCTCTACCCCCCATTACCCATCAAAAATCGTGACGAGAGCCTTTGACGCAAAATATCTACGCAAATTTTAGTATGATGCCAGCGGTAAAACATACATATCCATATAAATAGTATGAGGACGCATAAGATTACCAATAAATTCAGTGTAGTCAAAAAGAAACATTATATATTCTCCGACCGTTTGTAACTGCGCTTTGATTTTAAACAACGTGTTATCCCGACATTCGGTAACATAGTTATTTAACTCAACTAAATCCTCAATAGTATCCGGCATTTCTGAAGCCTTGGATGCCATTTTTTCGAACGCAACACTTATTCTGAAAGTAATGTTTAAAACTTGATATTTGCGTTAATTATTAGTTATTAATTTAAATAAAATTATTTTTTACTCAGATATATTCGTCTGAGTTAGATTCCTATAATAGTCGATAATTCTATTTTTGAAAACGTCAATGTTATTTTTTATGTTTGTATTCACTTTGGATACGTCCAGCAACATCAAGTTTAACTCAGCTAGATCACGCATTTTAGAAAAGTCATCTTTTATAGCTGCATACTTAATTACCCATTCGTTAAAGTCCTAAATTAGGAATTTATGTGAAATAGCGACTGATTATATGTTATATAGCTGCAGTGGTATATGCTATTTTTCTTTTAGATTAACTTTTAATAAAAATAAATAATTTGCAACTACAAACGTTTAATAAAGGAAATGGTTCGGACGAAAAAAAATTATCCAATAATTCGGCCTCGGTGCCATCCAATAAATACGAGTAAGGTTGATAGTAAGTAATGTATTTTTCTGGCCCTGGAAAATTGTTTTCTAATATTTTTTTAATTTCCAATAGCATAACTTGTACTTCTTCTTCCGACTCATACACGTTTTTTAGAACCATTGTAGAATCACCTTTGAACTCTAAACACACATTCTTAGAGTTTTAACTAACAAGTAAAATTCATATTACCTTTTATTAAAAACTGTTCTATTCTTGGCATGTCTTTAACGGTTTTAATAATTTCTCTTGGGATCGACAACAATAGATCCAAGCAAGCATCACGAGACGGTTCAAATATTATTTTACTTGAATTTTGATCAGGTATTGCTTTTAAAATAAAAAAAGTCCAATTGACAAACAAACTGTCTTTGTATTCTGTATTCAGATTATTGCCATTCTAAATAAAACGTATACAGTTATCTTTTAATCAACTTTTGTAATTGTATGTATTATACAATTATATAAAAGAATAATATATTCATGAGACATGGGAAACCATATAAATACAGATAAACCCGTAGCGATCGAATCAAATGATCATACAGCCCCGAGAAGCGTAGTGAAATGGCTTACACACCATTTAAAAATGCTTTAGATATAAGTGATAAAGCAAAATTGGAAATTCAAAACACAACACTAACCGAGAATAAGAATAGTAAAAAGTGCTTGGGAAGAACAAATAATTGTTGTTTGAGGAATAATGTTTGTTCTGCAGTAATTGGCTTGAATAGCTTCTATCTAGTAACTGGAAGAAAAGAAGAAAAATTGTATGGAACTTATTGTACGAGATAACAAAAAATTGTATAGGATTTTCTAAGTCATTGTTGACAGTTTATTACTATACTTAATTGGAATGTAACAGAATATTTTTTCTCACTTTGTAATCACGTAAGAATTCCATAAAATTATTCAATGATTTGAAAACAATTTGTCTCAACTGCCTTGACATAGTAGCCGCAACACAATCGAAAAAAGTGTGCACTTGATATTTTGAAACTTCTAATCCGCGTGCGGGTAATACCTCTCGATAAAGATGTCTCGTGTCTTTAAAGAGCTCAGCACATTCTACTAACCATCTAATTCAATTAGCAAATTTGTAAATCTAAATTATTGGCCCGAATTGAATGACGGTTTTATACAAATCTTACTCGTTAACAAGTTTGCTTCTGAACTGTTGGCATGACTTCTTTAATAAATCTTGCAATATTTCCGGTATGGCGGGCATGCCTTTCATTTTTAATTTATCAATGGAAAATATAAAACCTTTGGAATATCTAGTGCATAAAACAATATAATTTTAAGAAAACCTAATCATTATAATTTATTATTAAATAACTAAATAATTTTTTAATTTCTTTACTTTTTCCATATTTTGTTTAACAACAAAATTGGCTCTTTGAAAATATACAATTTGTGCCGGAGCTGTTCACTCTTGATGGCTGTCATATGGTGCCACGGTACCGGACCTCTTATAACCATTTTCGGAAAATCTGGTAAGTGATATTTCGTTATTTTTAGTCTTTTCAGTTCAGCAGGATCCATCAATATGTAATCCAATATTATTCTGCGACTGGCCATACTATAGTTTTGGCATATTTCGTTGTCCAATTTAGCCGCAATAAAACTATGCCTGCAATAGTTGTTGACATTATATGAACGTCTGGCATACACGTACTGTAATTTTGGTTTCGTTTAGTCCAAATACTAACTACATTTATTATTTAGTCCCGACTACCTAGCCGGTAACAGATCCGATATTTCACTTACTTTGCTAAAAGGTTTTGGTCAACGCGATTTTTTTTCAATTTTTCCAATCCTTGTTTTGGGTATGGCTCGAATGCATCGTCCGCAATACCCTAAACATTACATAAATAATATTAAGCAATACGTTATAGGATTTTTAAGCCATAATAATGATAGACTAGAAAAGAAACATAATTAATTAAACATAGGTCATCTCCAACTATATAAATTGTTTTTTTATCCGCTTACTCAATTATTTCTATAACTATAAAAACTAATTATTTAAAATTATAATTTCATTATAATGTTCGCTTAATAGGTGTGTATCTTTATGATGAAAATACTTCGATACTCAATACATTGAAAATATAAGAAACATTCAAATGTATGATTGTTGAAAAGTATAAACATTTAATCTAAATTTTAAAGGTAAAAATACAAAGTATAAAATTTTAAGTTATAAATTCAAAACTTCATTAATAGGTTTCCTACATAGGTATTTAATTTTAATAACATTCGAAATTGTATAGTGTAAAAACATAACTTTTAAATCTTAAAAAAATAAAATGCTCCCTTCATGATGTCTAAATCTAATTGCTTCCTAAAGTGGCAAAATATTATATATTTATATTTTATAATGGGACACAAAAACAATGCATAAAAAATAGTACTACCCTACGAAAAACAGTACGTCTAGTCACCATAATTATAGCTTTCATTTATAAACAGTAAAATATTTTTCCCAAACTTTAAAGTTAAAATTGAAACGTACTTCGTTTAAGTAATAGTTGATCCTTTCAGCGTCTTCATTAATTAGAGTTTCGTTACAATTTATATTTTTCCATTTTTTTTTCAAAATATCCAGTTGTTCGTCTGGATTTAATGCGCAGCACTTTTGCAAAAATGGTCTATATCTAAAGCAGACATGAAATTTCTTTCAGAATAACACTGAAGAGTTTTGACAAAACAAAATTGATGTACGGTACCAATAGATTTTTGGATAGTGCTAACATTATTATACTTTCAATTAGCATAAAATACTTATACACAATAACTTTAGCACTATCCGTACCGGTACATAGTTTTACTTTATACTAAAACTATTTCTTTTCTCGTTTAATACCCTGTTGTATTATAAAGCAATAATAAGTTTAAGGTACCTTCGCGGCAATAGTTTCTTTTTCGTAGGTGGTTGCTTTTTATTTTCAGATTTATTTTTACTTTTCGTTAACAATTTTGATCGTTCTTCGTGATACTTGCCAGACAACAAATCCTAAAAACGATTATCAATTTATAAAATGCTACTAAGACGGTTATTTCATCAGTAAAGAATATATAAATGAAGTACACAACCTTTAAAGGTACAACGCCGGGTTTATATTTAGCGATCGTGTCATTCTTTTGGTTTTGGATTTTGCGTTTCGTACCTGATATACTCGGGGAGGGTACTTTAACAACGTGTTTGTGTTCGTCCAAAATTTTTACCTTTAGCCCTTTTTCGCGAGCTTCGTTAATTTTGCGTAAACGTCTTTCCAATTGCAGTCTATAATTGCGGCCAATTGAACCGGAAGGCTTTATCTGATTAACCCTGTGCTGTACGACAGCAAATATTTATGTACAAGATACAAGTAGTTATCGGGTAAAGTATAAACTGTTCCAGTTTTTTTTGGTTTATATATCGTAATAAAAAGTACAAAATGAAAAAGAGAAAACCGAAAGATAAGTAACTCCTATAATGGTACTTCTTATCAATAATTTATCCTTGACGGACCAAGAATGCAATTCTTACGAGGAAATTAAAAGAGAGTCAAGTAGGAGAGAAGAATGTAGAATTAAAGCAAACCAATCTTCAGATTAATAACATAAGAAGAAAAAAAACACGTATTAAAAGATTTTATTTGTTGTAGGATAATACTGGATTTTTTTTCTATCTGCTCAAATAAAAAATTGCCGGTTTATGCAGTTTAATATTTATGGATCTTTCTCCTTTTCATCCACATGTACTTTACAAAACTGGAATGTATTTTACACAAAACGGTACGGATTTGGTCCACGTATGAAGACTGAAAAGTGGCGGATAATCATTTTGATCTTCTTCATTCTGTCGATCACTATTGACCGTACACCTAGGTGTATTTGGTAATGTCTTCCTCATATTTACACATCAATGCCGCCGATACGACAAGAAATTGATTTAATGCGAAATCTTGATTTATTCCATTTTATCGAGTATACGCTTATTTCGGGTTATGTAAATACATGCAATTTAATTATTAACAACTTATTGAATAATAAATCAAAAATAATGTGCGATTTATAGAAAATGAATAAAAAAAAGAAATTCGACAATGAAATGTCAAATTATCTAAACAGTTAGTACATAAATTATATGAGTTATACAGAAAAGTGGTTTTCAAGCATGAGGTTGCTATGTGTAATAAACTAGAACAATGGTAACCGCATCTCGTTGATGAGTCAAAGACGTAATAGATAATTTTCCAAAGTGTAGATAAACATTATAGATCAAAATAAAATCAGTCTTTTAGGCCGATCTTTTTGTGCGGTCAACGGCCAGACTTCGGCCCGAAATTTCTCCCACAATCTGAGTGAATTCAAAGGGCTCAATCCCGCAAAAAAAACTTGTCCCAAACATTTTCGCACAATATAACAAAATTATAATGTATTAGTTTATACTATAATCAAAATTATTTATTTTTCATAAATAATAAAAATTAATTTGTTGTCTTATTCATTTTCTAGCAAACATAATATATCAATCATCGTCAAAAAAACTACTCGATTATATCTCAATAGGTAAAAAAAGAAAAATACTGTTTCATAAATTTGAATAATCCCAAACAAAAATTATGTTTGAAATAGTTGTACATTTTTTTTTATTAAAATTGTTCTATTATAACTGATGTTTTTTAGATGCATGTTTAAGAAAAATACTAGCAAATCAAATAAGTATCAAGCTGGAGTTAAAAGCTTTAAATGAAAAACTAACATCAAAGAATAATAACGTCCCAGCTTTAATTGAAGATATTTGTTCAAACATAGATTGCCTTTTTTCATTTTGAAAATAAAAAAGACCTATCACACATTGAAGAATTAGTAGAAAGTAATTCAGCATACAGGAGGAAATTGGTTAGTATTGAAGTGTTTGTGTATAAAGTTATTATTGTGTGCTAGGAATTATTACATAATTTCAGTAAAGTTAGTTTGCTCATCTACTATTATTTACCCCATTTTACCATATAATAACCGCAGTATATTATAACATAAATAAATCTGTATAAACAAGACAATTAAGTAAATGATTATAAATCATACATTTTGATTTTAAAAGTGCTCACTTATTTAGTCATATTTTTTTTTTGCATTTAATTAATAATTGTACACGTTGAATACTAGATAGATTAAGTTTGGAGTAATTTTTTTTATGCTTACCCTATATTTAGTTAAAAAACCCAAATTACACAACTAACTAGTCATGTATTAGTTTAATTGTTCTTTTAGTTAATATAATACTATTGTATTGATTATAGGTGAAGGAATTATCACTTTCTGGTGGAAATAAAGTAAAAGTAATGATTGGAAGGATTATGATTAAAATGTTTAAAGACGAGTTAATGCAAAACTATTCCTACAATGGAAGAAATAAAAAGAAAAAACCTTTCTTAATATTAACACTTTGCAAAGTTATCTATGGTAACAGTTTTGGATCTTATTTTTATTAAAAGGTCGAAATTTGTATAGAACTAATCACTTATTATGATGACGTAAAGTAACTAGAAGACTATAGGAAACAATCTTTACCCTTTCATAAAAAAAAAAGAAAACAGTTCTTATTTTATATTATTAATCGTAATAGGAGATTACAGTTATTATCAAGAATATCACAATATTTTTGGGAGTTTGAAATGCATTTAAAATTTTTCCTTTTTCAAGGATACATTTTTTTTCTCGAAATTAGATAATATTACTTGAGAAATCACTTTTCCCATAATATCGTTTTTTATCAACAAAAATTGAGATTGATACAACTAAATATTACATTATCTAATATATTTTTTTTTCAGATGCTGTTCGCCTGAACAATTTCTTCCAAAACACTACTTCAAACGACATCGAATTTAGAATTAGTCAACATTTGATCCAAGCACCATTTCGTTTAAAAAAAACAAAAGTTCAAGTTAAAGAAAATAACGATCACAAATAAATATAAAATGAGTGTTTATATTATTACATTAAACTTACATGTTTTTAATTTGAGTTTAATTGTATTGTTTACCTACAATTCATATTATTTCGATACTTTATTTGAAGTATGACATAGTTTTACATTTAGTATTTATTTGTTGTGGGTGTATATTTATGAAACCTAAAAATATTATCATATTAGCTTTAACAAATTTTTAGGGAACTTTAATATTCTAATATTAGTATAATATGTCTCGCTACATGATATTGGAGTTTGCGATATTTATATTAGTATTTTACTACTAAAAATGTAATTTATATATATATATATAATATTCAAATTTAAAATATGATGGCTTATTATTTATAAATTCGTGAAATAACTAAGTAGGGGCGGGCGGATACATATATTTATCCCAAAATATGGGTTATAGAATCATTGAGTAAGTACTAAGGTTATCTTAAAATGAAAAATCGTTATAAATATAGTCTTTTATTAATGATGTAGTAAGCTTTAATTTTTAACATTTATTGAGTATTAAATTTTTATATTCATACAACGTGACTTTTTGGTCCAAATTTGTTCTACAAAACATTGTATAAATGTTACATTAATGTTTTTAATGGAATTTTAACTCAATTTAAACGTTTATTTAATCATTAAAGTTACTATTGTCTTACGTTTGTTTAATGTTGTATAAGCATTTTTTTTCTTAGTGAGAACTTTCTGTATAATAGTGTGCGAATATTATAGAAATTAATTTGTAACATTTGACTGTTGTTTGTTACAAGACTGATTTCACATATAACCTAGTTTCTACTATGTATAAGAGCTTTAAGTATAACGATTTTGGGTACCATTATTACGTATACTGTATAACTATAGCTTTGCTACAATACTGTTCTGTATTTTATAACCTATTATTGCACTGTGTATTTTGTGTTTAATAGGTTTGTGTTAAAACATATAATTATTGTGTTTTTATTTCTAATAAAATACGTAACTTCCACTAAGATATACAATCGTATATCTCATTAAAAATGTCGCCGCCTAATTTTACCTCAGATATTAAGTAATCAATTTTCCCGCCACCCCAACAATCTTGTTGGTCAGCTTGGCTTGTGAATTCTTCCAAACATTCCAAGCCAACGGTTAAAACATACATGGTGCAGAGACCTACTAGATAATCAATGAAATATTATGTAATGATACTAAAATTTGTATCGTAAACTAACTCTAATGTGAGTTTTCCTCATAACATTTATTTGGTTACTTTATAAATTATCCATTTCAATTTTTTTTATTGTAACTAGCTTGGTAGTTTATGAATAATTAATTAATAAACGATGTTTTACTGGCTATAACAAGGAAACGTTTCTACTGATTTTACGATTTACACCATAGTAACATTTTTATTTATGTTTAACAGTTGAATATCCAGAGTTTTAATTACATTTTAATCCGTGATTTCTGTTAAGTCAGACGTTCATTTATTCTATTCTTTAGCGAACACCAACGAACCACTATGTGCTATAAGTTTTTACCCTGCTGTGGCAACGACCAGCAATTAGGAGTGCCCGTTAGGAGATGGCTTTACTATAGCGTGATCTTTTACTGGGTAAGCCTATCAATATTGATTCTCCTTAATTCCTGTTATTTTATCTGATCCTCTGTTTCTTTTTTATTTACTCATTGTTTCATGTCGCATATCCTTAATTCCCCATTACCCATCTGTAGCGTACAGCAAATGCAGGCAACTATTTCTCTTTTTGCTAACTTATTCACATTTCTATTTATTTGCATGTTATTTTAATGAATTTAAGTAGTTATCGTTAAAAACTATGTAAGTACGGTTTTGATATTTATAACTTGGGATTATACGAGTCGTATATTAACAAATATATATTATAAAATAAAATATGTTCATACTGAAAATACTTAAACATATGTTGTTGACCATATCGACTATATTAAACTGTGGTTTTCCAGATTTACGCAGTCATTAGCTTCGTGTCATCGGTAATTTGTTACTTAGACTATGGTAAGTTTGACTTGTGTTTATTAATATTTTTCACTATTTCATCAATTATTTTTGCATGTCATAGAAATTAATTTTTGTGTAACATAAAAGGTTATAATTTTTTTTACAGGATTTGCAGGTCTATTCACGAACCGCCTTAACACACATTACAACGCCATACTAATGGTCGACATCTTTAACATCATCTTCACCGCGTACTTTTTGCATAGAAATTACTTTTCCTCGGTGAGTACACCAAGAATGATTAAATTTGTAAATTCAATGTCAATGAAACCTAACTGTGTTGGTTTTACAATCGTTCGTTTATTTTTTACAAAACAAAATCGACTTCGCCGATAATTAAAAATTTAATTTGATCTGCTAAATTGTATAAAAGTCACTAATATTCTTTTGATTCTCATTTGAAGACGGTCGACATAATCTTTATAATTGTATTATGTTATTATAGGGTGCAAATATAATAGGAACCAACATAGGAACGGGTGCACTTAACGTTTGCTTTGAAGGATTCATGATATTCCAACATATAATTACCCATGTGAAAATTATCCTAACTGTGTTGATACTGGAAGTAAGATGGCAAAATTTAACCTATAAATCATTCTCCGGAGGTTGCAATTGGAGCGAGTTTGTACATTGGCTCGGAGACTGTACGTTAGCTACAGTTTAAAAACGACAATTGAAATGAATACAACTTTTTTATATTATTTCAGTTTTTTATGTATTTATGATAATATGGCTCTGGTTTGCGTTTAACAATAAGATACGTTGATCTCACCTGTGCAATCGGACAAATACAAAACTAAACAGAAACGACAACACACGGCTCAACACGGAATTAAACAGCGAGCAATCTACATAACAATCTATAAGTAGTTTATCGAATAAATACATTTGCACGGTACTAACT